CCCCCAGCCCCTTCCCCTCCAGGTGTTACAAACTGCACATCAAAGTAAGAGTGTACAGGGAACAACAAAAAAATTCTGTCATCATCACATTTTCAAAGTTGTGTCCTGCGGAGAGAGAGAGCGGAGCATGACAGGCCAGAGCTGACCTGCCCCTTCTCCTGCTCTGGCAGGGAAGCAAATGCTTTTAAAAGCAGCCTGATCTTGTGTGTCACCTTCTTGGTATGAACCAGCCCAGAATGGAGAGATTCAAATAAAAAAATGCTATTTAAGTCACCTTTATTTAAGCTTTGTATTTTGTAGGTAGATTATAGGCAAGATCATTAAACTTTATTTACAGTATAAAATACAGTATTTTTTTTTTTTTAATCAATGAAGTAATTTTGGGCAGCAGCATATATTACAACTTGCACTGCATCTGAGGCTGCTCATCTTGACCTGACTACAAGAACACGAAGCCAAGTTTGACAGAATTTCAGGGCAAAAACCAAAGCTCTGTCTTGAATTCACTGGCCGTTGAAAGCCCATGTGCCAAAAACGTGACAGAAACAAACTTCACTTTTAGAAATCAAGATAAAAAGCAATTTGGTGGCCAGTCTTAATTTTACACGCTGCTCAGTTTGGTGTTGCAGCACTGCTGGCATTTGCAAAATTTCCGAGACTCCTTCCGTGTGAGGTCAGGAACGGGATGGGCCGTGCTTGTTGCATTATGCTGGCCTGGAACAACTACCAACACTTGATGCTAGAGCCACTCGCTGGTTGACAACGCTGAAGCGTATGCCTACAGCGCATCCTTCCCCATACAGGAGCGAAGGGGCACTACCAAACCCTACACGTTCGGCTTCGGAGAGAGACATAAAGCCTGGAGAGGCGCTGGTACGGAGGAGCTGTAGGTCTGGTTTCAAATAAGCGTACACAAGTGTTGTCTATTATCTACAAATATTTATTTTAACACTTGGATGTAACTACAGGAAGCCCTTGGCACTGATAGAAAATATTGATTCACTGTTAGGTTACAAAAATTTATACATAGCAAAATTTAATGCTCTTTACATAAAAATATTAGACTACTTAAACAAAACTTCAAAAACTCCCAGTAATAGCTACACTGAATTAGAAAAGAATTAGGCTTTAAGACACTGCCTCCATTATTACCCTTATGCAAACACTGGGCTAGAACATCACCTGCATTGCTGTAGAAATGTCTCCTTCATGCAACAGGTAAGAACATACACTAGGCTATTTTTGTCATATTTGCTCTACATTGATCAACTTTTTGCCCCTTTTTTGAAACTGTCAAATTAGACTTCAGTATTTAACCAAAAAACGAAGTTGTATTTGAGGTTAATGCCCCCCCCCAAATGCCTTTACTCAAATACTGACTCAAAGAAATTTGTGCTTCCTTTGACTGATGTTCTGCAAACAGTCAAAACTATCAAACCACACATCAGCTTAACATGGGTATGACTTGAATATTTAATTTTTTTCAAATGACCGATGTATTTTACTTCCCCCCCCAACATTTATATATATATATATCATATAGAACAAACACCAAATATACCATCACTAATACTCAAGATATCACTGAATGTTTCTGAAAAAAACCCATTAATTAGAAGGCAGACTCCTATGGGAAATGACTTTAAAATGGCACCAGTTTCTTTGTTGTTTTTTTTTTTTCTGAACACCACGTTTTCTTAATGTGCTAATTAATTTGTAAAAAGGAAAACACGTAAGCACTGACTATAAATCTGCTAAGCACCAAGATAGAGAAAGGTGGACATCCTGTATTCTGGTTTATGGCTGTACTTTTTATCATTTGTCTAAGACTCTGCAAACTTTCTCATCCGCTCATTTGGAATAGTCAGATCAGTGTCATTTTAATAAGGTAACACTTTTCACTTACTTAAAATGTAGGATAATGGTCTCCTGCCACTATATAAATGCTAAGACATTTATAGAAAATAAATATTAAGGCAAAGCTGACATTTATTTTCAAAGAAGGGGATCATTATCCGGATCCAGGGATCTACATTCCATTAAATAGTTAATAAAAAGATTAAAACTTGGGACATCTGCTCAACACTCACGTAAGCGCAGGAGCATGACTGCTTCATCATAAAAAAGTGTGGCACAAAAGTAGAGTGTTGTTCCCGTGGCCCGTGTAAAGAGCATTCAGAGACGGCCCCGTTGCAACTTAGGAACTGCTGCAACCGTGCCATCACGTAAGCATGAGCTGTGGGAAATCTTAGCCAGCCACAGTTTCATTTGGTATATAAATGGAGATACTGAATCACGTGTGGTCACGCATGCCTTTGCCTAAGGTCTGTGCAGAGATCTACTGCCTGCTGGTTTGGAGCTCCTGCCACGGTTTTGTGCAGGACGTCACGCTGTAGAACGTGGCAAATACTAAATACCGAAAGTCTCGAAGAAGAATATAATTTGGTCACTTATTGTGAAGTGTTGCCTTTTAAAATGCCTAGAATAAAACCTCCATTCTCTGTATGAAAGGATGGAAGATTACCCATGGGAAGATTTCCCTATGAATGTGTTCCAGGAGCTGGAATGTGAAGCTTTTGCACTTCTCTCTAATTTTGTTTGGTAGACACACATCTGTACTGCAGAGCAGCTATTTGCTGATTTGTCAGAGCTACAGAATTCTTCTGCTGAATTACTGTGGCAAACATTTATGTGTAAGAATTGAGTTGCTCTTTTGACCGAGACTGGATATCCTGAAGCTCCTGCTCTTCTTTTGCTTTGATATCTTGGTAGGCCTGCATTTTGCTTGCATCCTTTAAGTAGGCCCAGTTAGAAGACAGTATCATGAGGAAGTGGATCTGGAAGAGAAGGGTGAGCATGATGGCTAGTGAGCATGTCAAGAGGCAAAGCAAGCTGCTAGTTAGATTAATAGACGCTCTTTAAAACGACGACCAAAAAACCAGTTATTCTACGTTAATAAGCATTCTGTTATTAAAACAAGCACAGGGGCTATTTTCAAAGATCTCTAGAGTTTGGCATGCCAATACTTCAGGTGGTTATTCACAGTTTAGAGAAAGTTAGTGTAACGGTAATAAAATGAGCTACGGAGTTGTACGGATCAATTAAAATGCAGAATGGGGGGAAGCAGAACAGAAGTTTTCTATGTGGCAAAACATGTATTCTGTAAACTATGAGGTGCTCTGAAGAACTGCTTCCTAAGGTTGCGGTGTTTATGCATAACCAAGCCCAGATCCTGGTAATTCTTTTCCCCCAACAAGCAGATGAGAATTCCACCCTCCCCCTGGAAAAAGCCTGAAACTGTAAACAAGTTTTATTTACGTGACCAAGGCTACATTAACATATTGAAAAGTTAAACAACAAAACATGAACCCAAAACTAAGCAAAAGCATGCTATCTCTGAGTTAAGAAGTCTTCATCTTATATTTTTACAACTACATTTGAAACTTCCGTTGTCCAACCTCAGGTGAAGAGTTTTACATCATACATAGCAACTGGTTCTTTAATTATTGTGTGGACTTTTTCTAGTTCGTGCATTCATCTCTTCCCATCTCTTCTTTTCACCATACTTCATGCAAAAAAAAAAAATCTACATCTGAAAACACCGATTCCCCTCTCCTTTTTTTTAATCCCAACAGTGTAAAAAGGCCTCTATGATCTCTGCATGGTTTTGCTTCCCGGGCAGTCGTACTTACAGTTTTGAGATCTGGCTACTGAGAAATCAGTTACTAAAGTGCAAGCCGTACAAGACCAGAAGCTTTTCATATGCCGTTTCACATGCCATTTCTTACTAGTTCAGGGTCCAAAAAAAAGGACGTGATTGTTTGACGCAGCGCTAATACAAGGATGTATTTCCTCCCAGAGTGTGATTTGAAAATAACCCACTTTATCATCTGTGCACTGGAAACAGAAGCCAACTAATTCATAATACCCGGGCTTCTGATTTCTGCCAAAGGAGACTGGCGCTACCTTACTATTCCTTTTCTTTTGTATCATCTAGAGTTTGTGTGCTCGGGGGGGGTTCTATTTGGTGTTCAGGATGAGAAGGAATAACTAATCCTGACCCTGAACTGTTCCAGTATTTGTTTTAGAGATGAATGTTAGAAAGCAAGTGGTGACTTGAAATGGAAACATCCCATCTTCAGAGGATGCTTTATAAACACCCCTACAGTAACTGAATCCTCTCGACATGTAAAAATAGCCAGATCTCATCCACATCACAGTTCATATACAAGAAGTCATTTCATTAATCTGATAAGCTAAATGATGCTTACTGAAGCTATTTACAATTACTGTAACAAAACTCAGAAAGCTAGACTTTTAGCCTAGGGTGTCAGTGGTATTTCAGGCTACGCAATGCAGCTCTTTACTGGGCTTATACAATTTAGAATTTAGTGCAGCAATCTTCCCGACTCTTAAACTTCAAAACAGCATAGTTATATGTGGTAGCCATCATGTAGATCAGCTGGTGGAAGAGAACAAAATACAGGAGAGTAAGATACAACAAGGCGAGACGGCTCAAGCCCACATGGGCAACTGTTGATACTTTTACAACAGACGTTACTCTGAGCTTCTTCCAGGGTGAAGATGCAAGAGAAATAACTTGCCATTTATCTGGAGAGGATAACCTACATACAGACCTAAGGCTATTGCATCAACAAGTAGTGACTAGTACACCTGGATTTGGCTGACATGAGGTTAGAAGCTGGCAGCTAGAGGAAGCGTTAAACATATGGAGCAAGTCATCTTGTTAACGTCCCTTTTTCCAACTGCTACCTGTAATTGGCATTGCGGAGCTGGACTAGTCAAACTGCCTGCATCCAGACGAAAAACCCAAGAGGTTACAAGCGATTGATCAAAAAAACCGACAAAAATTAAAAGAAATAGCGGATGTAAAAACAGAAATAGTGGGGAGAAGTAGGATTTTCAAAGGACACGCAAGGAATTTTATTCTAAGGATGGGGGGGGTGGGTTAACGTGACTTCTTAAAGCAAAAGGTCAGGACCTGCTGACCTGCAATGACCACACCACAGCAGCAAATAACGGCGATTACAGCTCACCCTCCTTAATGGCCAGTATCACTACTACTCAGATACACAAAATTTCATCTTAAAGCATCTTAAGCCTGAAAGGAACATGTTACACAATAAAACAACAAAAAAATGCTACCCACCAATGCTATGACAGTGGCACCAGCTCCAGCACAAGCCACAATGAACAGGTGATAAGACATGTAGAACTAGAGAAAAAACACATTAAAAACATTGAAGGAATTGAGGATAGTATAAAATGCATTTCAACTGTGGTAAAGAATAAGGATAATAAAACTGTCTGCATAGCAAGGTATTCAAAGCTTTAGAAAATAAAAATGTTCTGACATAATTTTCATTTCTTGGATGACCTAACACAGAATAATTTCAATGTTGTGTTTAAATCAATCTCTTTATACTATTAATATTAGTTTTCTCCCAAAACTTTCATCAATTTATTTATTATGCTGTGCCCAAGTGACTTGGAGGCAAAAGCTGCACGCAGGTTATGTTTCTGTACCTCATTCGTGTTGCAGATGTTCTCTAAAATCGGGCCACAGGCTTTGCCAGGTACAGCATTCCAAGGGATAATACCTGAAATACCACAGCAAAAGAAACCACTCATTTTAGCAATCAACACATGCTTTCTGTTCCTCTCTCATCTTTTCCGCCCACTTGCCAGTTGTGTTCCCGTTCTGGGCATCGGCGCGCTGACCAGTACAGCTTTGAGTTGGCAGGAGGAATTAAAACAACTCGCTCAAGTTGTGCCTTCTCCTTATACCAAGGCTGGCTGCCAAGACATGTTCTCAGATGTGGTTTTCCCATATGGCAGCCAAATGGTTGGTTGGGTTTTTTGCACTTCAGGTCCAGCCACACACTGCCTCCTCCCCCACTCAGCCCCAAAAGGGATAATCTGCATCTCAGAGGTACTTGGCATCTTTCAGGATAGCACTTACTAGATTAAGTTCTACTTGAACAAGTAACTGCTGGAGAAGAGTGTGAATATGGAGCTAGGGGGAAGAATTACAGAAGGATTTTTCTTTCTGGTTTAGTTCCAGTAGGTAAAAAAGCATTAAGTGAACACCGCCACAAGAAAATTCACTCTGGTGTACCTCATGTACTCCCCATTACTTTTCTTACATGACTGAAAATCTGAAAAGTTGACAAGGATCTGGAAAGTTTAAAATAACCTAAACTTTTAGGCCCACAACAGATATAAAGCTTCAGCAAAAGCCATTTGAAACAGGAGAAAACCAGTTTGTCTCCTCCATGTAACTCAGCTGGTTGGAATTAGCAACTCTGTAAGGGGCAGGTCATTGAAATTATCTTGGGATGGTATGGCTTTCAAAATGATTTTATAGGATTTACTTCAAAGCTAGCTTCTTCTCTGCAACTGCAATATATACTTGAAGCCTTTTAGCTATTGCTTCCACCCAAAACTGCAGGAGGACAGTTCAGTGACACAAGTTGCCTGTTAAGGAGCTGCTCTCTCACATCACTCATTGAAACCCAAATGATTTTACTGAGCAGAGGAACAGCACAACCCTCCACGGTGCTCGTACAACTGCAAAACAACCAGGAGAAGCAGAAAGGCGGAGGAGCACATCTTCCCCCTGCACTCCTAGGCTTTGCTGCTGAAGAAAACGTCTTCCGAGCCTTCTTGCTGTCAGTTGCTAAAATCGGATGCAAACATTTAACTGATTTGGAACTTCTTGCTTTTAAAATTAGTATATCTTATCTTCTCCTACTGGACTTACAGCCCAGATAGGAAAGCAAAACCAAGCTTTCTTTTTCAACTCTGAATCTGTTTTCTCAGCTTTGAATGACTTAGTCCAAAGAAAGAAACATTCCTAGAAATTGCTAGCTGAAATGAAGCCAGAAGTAACGGTGACAAGAGCTCTTCTGCACAAGGGAAGCTGAAAAGATTAACTTCAGGAAAAACTCACCTTAAGGAATGAACTACTTGAAAAGCCTGGCCCCGTTTTAAACTACTGTCCCACTCCTCTGCTACCTGCACCCACTCGGATTTCTGTGTGCCATCAGAAAGCAATATTAATTCATTAATAGGTAAGCCAGACTCCTGATTGCAGGTTTTTGGTCTTTTAACTGAAAGTAGTTGTTAGAGCAAAGCTCAAGTGTTAACTTCATAAAAACCAGGTTTTTTGAAAGGAAAGAATACATGCACCGGGGTTCAAAAACCAGAATCTGGTTATCTATTTCTCAGCACTTTTTCTAAGCAGTTTATTTTGAGGCTGATCTATTTTTAAACCTAATATTATAGTATTGGAAACCACTACAAACTCATTTTAGATAAATGACTTGCCAGTTCAGTTAAATTGATTGCATCTGGAAAGAGATCAGTGTAATCTGAATTAATTAGAAAAGTAATAGCACATTCAGAGATACAAGATGCTTTCGCATTTGGTTCATTTGATAAGGCTGAGACAAAACTACCAAAGAGAGACTAAGGAGAAAGGATAAGGCATTTAATCAGGATTAAAATAAGTACCGTATTGCCTGATATCCACGCAGATCTGGTCCCCTGGAACTGTCATGTTTGTCTGAAGAGATTTGATGACTTCGCAAGTTGACCATATGTTATAGAACATAAAGACAGGCACAGCAGAGAAGCCAAAGACCCCAAGCCAGGCCACTCCAAGCACATAGGTAAGGAAAACAAACTGGGCAGAGAAAACACAAGCACTTCACGTTTATTCTTTGAATAGAATACTTGAATTTTCCTTAAAAAGGCTTCAAAATAATCTTTAAGCATACTTTCAGAAATCAAGTAATAAAACATTTGATTTCTAAGCACAAATAAAATCAGTATTCTCATTGATTACAAATACTTTGGTAGTTTAAGTGCTACTGAGAAAGTAATTCAGACATTTCCTTTTTCATCAGCCTGCTTGAATAAACAGCTTGCCCTCCTAAAAGAGCAGTCCATTAATTTCTCAAGATTCTCAGTGAAGCAGGAGTGCTGGTTGTAGGCTAAAACCAATAAAACCCCAACAAAAATCAATTTAAGGAGGTTTTTTTTAATTAACTGTAACATACTAGCTTTTCTATACAACTTGCAAATCAAAACAATAGAGTGAATCGATGTTCAGAGAGCTCTCCCATACTCCCCGATTTACTTAAATCAATTTTGAATGTAACATTTGATAATACCTATTTTTGAGAACATACCACAACTGTTACAGCAGATCAGAAAGCTTCAATTGATTTAATACACATTGTCAAGAAGAAAATTAGTTACTTCACCTTAGAGAATCATGGATTTTCCATTGAAATTTGCTGGTTTGGGTTTGCTCTTTTTGAAAAAAAAAAATAAAAAAAATTACACGCATTTCCTTTGGTAAGATTATAAGGTATGACACTCATTGCTTTGGAAGTCTCCAGCCTCCCCTTCCTACTGAACATCTTCTTTTTTAAGCGTTATGGTGAAACAGTAGCTCTGGCTACTAACTCCATCCTCCTGGTGAGACTAGGATTTGGATCCTACTTGGAAAGCAGGGGAATGCTGTTCCATCTTGCATGTTCCCTTTTCACTCTTACTTAAATGTAGGTGGGACTGGAAAGGCTTTACTTCCAGTAAAGTGCTGGTGCTGTACTATCTCACTTAAAACTTGTGTGCCAGAGAAGAACAGCGAGGATGGAAAGGCTCTGAGGGGGCAGGTTGTCTCAGCCCGACCCAGACCTGACAGACTGAACTCATGCTACAGCAGTGCACGTTTGCACACGCAGAGGTTTTTGTCCAGACGTCCTGAACAACACTGCAAACGTTATAGCAAAGGGTGAGCGACTCGTTGGGTTTTAAAGTCAACAAAGGTGGTGCGCGCGGCAAGGTGGACGTGCTTGCAAAACTAAGGCCCATAAAAACCCCAGCTAGCCTTTAATTTATGCACAACTAAACTGACATAGCCTATTTTACATTAGATAGTGCCACACAAGACCTGTATGCTTTACGTGAGAATTCAGAATTCTCTCTTTGGATTTTGGTGAGGACCAAGTAGATCAGTTGGAAGGATTTCTATAGATACACTATACATAAAATGTGGTTTTGCGTATGTGTACATGGAAGTGTGCAGGAGAGGAAGTACACAAAGCCTTTAACTCCTAAAATAGCCAGGGAAAAAAATGCACTCACTCTCACATTTAATGTGATAACTGTGGGAAATGGCTATTCTGCATTACCACAGCCAACACAAACAATTCAGGAAAGCTGGAAGTCTGTCTTCTGTAATAACGTTATGCAAGATGGAAGGGACTGCCTTTCAGGACCTCACTCAGTAATGTAACAGAGGAAGAAGTAGAGGAGCTCTTGATCAAAGAGGCAGAAAAAAAAAAAAAATTACTATATGTCTAAAAGCTTGTTGTCTGTACGCAGCTGCAGCCACTAGTCTGTTAGGATATTATATCTCCTTGCAAACCTTGTTCTAACCCTGGTGTTTTAAGCAGCTCTACCACTACACAGTGGCATACAAGCGTTTTTACACCATGGCTGTCACCACTAACCACTGATGTGTCTTACCAGAGCTCCAAGCCGTTACTTAGCTGCTAAATTCTCTCCTTTATTGTGTGGGCAAATATAGCAAACATGAAAACTTTTTTTTCTGTCCTATTTCCATGTGTCATGCTGGTATTTGTATAAGGAGCTGGCAATCATGCGCCTGCAACTACTCAACTGCACAAGCAATTGTCTGCACTAATGAGATGCAGGTATGTGTATGTTTCTGCTGTATTTTGGATCTTTGGAAAACACCGCTTTAGATCGAATTTTGGTCCTCAATGAAGATCATACTTGCTAGAAAAAGAGTGAGCAAATAGCTGCTTAACTGGAAAATGATCAGATGTCTTATTTTTATTAGCTCTTGAAAAATTCAATAAGTATCCAACAGCACAGTGGAAAAATGTTAACCCTCTTGAAAATAAACATGCATCTCCTTTGTATTTAACCAGCTGAAAGTACCTATTTTTTTTAAGTACAGGATATAGATTGTATATTAAAATGCAACAATCACATCAAAAGCCTCTTCTCTTTTCACCCACACTTTCCCGTGGGCGATCTGTCATACTGCTTAGCTTCCTTCATAACTACGAGCTTTGAATTCAGATTTTCAGAAATAGCTTTGAAATCCTGTCTCAGAAACATAGTTATGTTTCTGTTCTTGCAGAGTGTGCCCTAGGGGACAACGTGGGTGAGAATCTGCAGTTTTATTTTTAGTTAAACTTTGTTTAAAATTTTGTTCTAATACAGAAGCATACTGAAGGGAAGATGGCTTGTAACTTTAAGGCTTTAAGTGTTTCAGCTTTGCAAGAAAGACTCACAATTATATCTGTGTGCCTTTTGCCATCTGCAAAAGCAAGACAGCAATACTTGATTCAAGTGCAAAGATGTTGCGAAGTTTCATTCATGGCTGTTTGTCTGAAGGATCCAGACATCCTCAAGCAGAATTGACTATGGAAGTCAGAGGCATTGCTGTTTGTTATTTAAATAGCTCTGCAAACCACAGCCATTTTACAGTTTGCCTTTAATCATCACTAGTGTGCTCCATGTTTAAAAGCACAAATTTCATTTTGTCTTGCATTGAGTCTTTTAAAATTAGCAGTCTCCATCAACTTATTTTAGATCGGTGGGTTCAGCTTCATGACAGGGGAGGCCATGGAGGCACCCTGACAGTCCATATGCAGAATTCGGATTTGACCAAGCATCCTCAAAAAAGGACTAGCAACAGGGATTGACTGTTTAACTCCTTATGGGTGGACAAAGAAGGCAGCAATACATAGTGGTTCAATCCGAGCCCAACAGGTTTTAGCAACCGAAGGCGACTGTTCCTATTTCTGATGCTACTCACCATTCCACTGATGCAGCGGCCACAGGCTGTTGTTTTGAACTCTCCATGCAGCTCCTTCACAGCACTTGTTGTATAAAAACCTTCTGCCAAAAGGATTATTCCATATAAGAAGAAAAATGATGCAATGCCATAAATTACATACTGCATTAGCTGTATTCTAAAATGGAAAAGAAAAAAAAGATATAATTAGATTTTAGTCCTATAAAAACAAAGTCAGGCCTCCCAAATCATAATAGGTATGAGCTAACTCCTCTTCTAGAAATCCATTTCAAGGCTCCTTAATGCATTTTTAGCCAGCAGGCTGCAGGAGCACGCCAGTATGACTATCCCGCTGCTACAGGTAAGCAATCCTGATGTGCATTAGTCTTGCATCCGCTCAAGCATCCCCTGTTTGTGCTGCAGTTCCTACACCGACTGGTATTAGTCACTAGCTTGAAGCCGCAATTGCATGCCTCCACTATCGAGATTTTTCTTTTTTTCCCCTGTTATCAATCCTGACACCTAACTCAGGGAATGTCTGACAGGGACAGCATAGAGCTTTGAAATGGCAAAGGCTGGAGCTGAACTGCTGGTTGAACTACCAGACCCCGTGGAGACTCCTTTGGCTTAGGGAAAGATCTCTAAAAAGTTCCTGAAATTCACTGTTTCCACCTGTAAAATCCAGTTAACGTATGTTTGCAAAAATTTGCTAATTCAGCGATGCTTCTCCAATACAAAACTCAGCAAATGTGCAGTGACTTCTCCTGAGGAACAGTTTGCTCTACAGCCTAGAAGGGTACCTCCAAGTGAGCAAGTAGCTTCAGTGCCTTAAATCACAGCAGTGTTGAGCTCCCCAAAATCAAATTAAATTTTAAAAAACTGAAAAAAATATTTAGGAAATGCTTCCATTGCAGCTATTCTGGAACCGTCCAGAGGAAGAAGATTGCAGGGCACGTGGCATGATTTGAGAAGATTCTCGATTCCTTAAAAATCTACCATCTGCAATGACACTGTTACGGTATTTTTACTCTGGCTAGAACAGGTAAATGGAAAGAAAAATTTCTAAATATTTAATCAGATTCAGTATCTAAACCTGACTGTTTTGGAGGACCAGAACGCCCTATCTTTCATATAACATTTCTTCTGGTCTCCAAAAGTCATACTACTTATTGGCACAACTACTCCAACTACTTACGCCTTCTTTAAAAGTAACTGGATTGTTGGGATGGTTATTCTGGATGAAACTATTCACAGAACAGAGAGGTTAATTTTATACATCCAAACTGCCAGTTTTCTCACGATAAGTGTATTTTTCCTTGAATGTTTTTTTCAATTCTTACTATTCTCCACTAAGTAGCTGCTAGCATACATGTACATCTCCAAAGAGCATCTGCATGTTTTAGCTTAATTTAAAGAAAACTGATCACTATCATTTATATAGTTAAATGTTATCCAGACAGATAGCACACCCCTTGTATGAAAATAGGATATTGCTTATTTAAAATTACATGTGGGAAGTGTTATGTTTATTTTCCAAACTGATTAAAAATAAGAGGATAAATCTGTTGCACCTGTGCTGTAAAGCAGGAAAAAAATTGTCAGTGTTTGAGAGAGAATAGAAGAATTTATTTCGCTGTCACTTAACACTGTAGGAGGAACTTGATGCGTGTTAACACAAATGAGGAATACGAAACCTGGTTAAAAATCCATTCCACAAAGAGTGCTCTACTAGTGTATTTTTCCTTTATGTCTCTCTGGCCTTAAATTATTTGCCCCTTTCTAGCACCTCTTCTTCCTTGCCTTGTTAGACCTCCACAGAGCCCAAAACCTCAGCTGCTTCCGTACGAATTACACATTTCCCCAGCTGCTGACACTGACTTGACAAGAAACATTGTCTACAGTTCTCCGAAATGTAAAACTTGCTGCCTGGTATGGCTGCTTTCGCAATTTCTTCTATTTTGCTCAAACAAGGACCAATACAAGCACAAGGACGCCTTGTTAGTCGGTGGCTGAAGAACAGCTGCTTAGTTTCTTGCTAAATTTTGTGGCTAACTGCAGGGTCCCTCCGGCTCACACACTGGAGCTGGGGCCGAGGTGCCCAGTCGCACTGTGGCGCTGGGAGGGAGGACAGGACCCCAGTGGGGTGCAGTCCCAGAGCCGCACGGCAGGTCTGGGCACAGGGGGTCCTGCAAGAGGGCAAAGTCCTGACACGGTGCTGTGGGACCGATGCCAGGGGACGGGAAGGGGCCAGTTGTGGAAGCCTCAGGTTGAGTGCATGGGAACTGGCCCACAAGTGCGTGCCATATGGGCCCCCTCTTCACAGGGACCCCTGCCCAGAGCCCTCAGGCAGCTTTCAGCAGGTTTTGGCTGCCCTTTCTCATGCCGCCCCCCTGTCCCAGGACAGAGACATCTCCAAGGGCCAGCCACACACGGTGCCTGTGGCCAGAGCTGCCCCGTGGTAAGCGGCGGGCAGGAGGCTGAGCCCAGACCCAATCAGTATCCCGACACCAGTCCTCATGTGTCATGAATCCCAACTTGAGGGAAATTCCTCAGTGCTGCTGGACAAGAGCCTTTTCAAAGCCTGGGGGTCCAGCTGGAGGGGATGCATAAGACCCAGCATGTTTGGACCACTGGCCCAGGGCCTGGGACTCACACGTCCCTCAGCATCCAGGGAGGGAAAGGCTGGCACTGGTGGGGCGTGGGCCCTGATATGGGGCTCCAGCCCTTCTTCTGCTGTCACGGAGAAGCCTCGGGAACATGAAAGCACTGAACATTTCACTGGTTGTGATTTCAAAAGGCTATGGTTGCAGAGACAAACATTTAAGCTCTTTCCAGTCTTTTCTCTTTTTTCTCATTTGTACAATACCAGTCCACCTTCTTTGGAGGGGGGGTGGACAGAACAACACTTCCCTGTTATTCCTGTCATCCCTTCAAATTTTGTGTCACCAACAAACCCTAAATCTACCCTCTTTCAGATTAAAATTGTTACCCCTTGTTCTGTCACTACACTCCCTAATAAACAGTCCCTCACCATCTTTCCTGTAGGCCTCCTTCAGGTACTGGCAGGCTGCAACTAGATCTCCCTGGAGCCTCCTCTTCTCCAGGCTGAACAATCCCTACTCTCTCAGCCTGTCCTCATAGGAGAGGTGCTCCAGCCCTCTGGTCATCTTCACGGCCCTCCTCTGGACTCATTCCAACAGCTCCATGTCTGTCTTGTACTGGGGACCTCAGAACTGAACACAGCAACTTCAGGTAGGGTCTCACGAGAGCAGAGTAGAGGGGCAGAATCACCTCCCTTGACCTGCTGGTCACGCTGCTTTTGGTGCAGCCCAGGATATGGCTGGCTTTCTGGGCTGCAAGTACACATTTCTGGCTCATGACCAATTTTTCATGCACCAGTACCCCCAAGCCCTTCTTCTCCTCAGGGCTGCTCTCAATCCCTTCATCCCCCAGCCTGTATTGATATTGGGGGTTGCCCCGACCCACGTGCAAGACCTTGCACTTGGCCTTGTTGAACCTCAGGAGGCTTGCAGGGTCCCTCTCTTCAAAGCTGTCAAGGTCCCTCTCCATGGCATCCCTTCCCTCATGCATATCAACTGAACCACTCAGCTTGGTGTCCTCTACAAGCTTGCTGAGGGTGCGCTCGATCCCATGGTCTATGGCACTGCTGAAGATATTAAACAGTATTGGTCCCAATATAAGCAAGTTAAGCAGGATACACACTCTGGTTCTTCATGCGTGAACATCAAAACCCACTGAGTGCTGTTGGACAAACAAGCAACCTAATACACAGAGATGGAGACTGACATTTGAATTCGTCTCTACTCATTTAGCATGAAGATGTTATGAGGAATAATGGCAATGGGAGGTATACTTACACTTCACTCAGCAAAGCATGGTCGCTGGCAGTCGTGGAGAAGTGCTGCTCAAGGATAGACACAGTTCCTGTGAGCGCCACGTGGCCACAGCCACAAAACAACGCTACCCCCGAGAAGCAGAGAATGGTTGCCACGAGCGAAGCATATGGCACTCCTCCTAGGCACTTAATGCAACATTCAAAGCAACCTAAGCAGAAGAGAGAAAGCAAAAGAAACATTATGAGCAAAAAGCAAATTATAAGGAAGAGAATATTCGTCCTCCACTTGGTAAAAGCCACACAGACTAAAAAGGCCCAGGCATTGACATGCTAAGCAAAAAACTATAGGTGGTGCAAGACAGCATCACCCTCTAAAGCAGTGACCTACAGATCTGTTGGTATGGACTCAAAGCCCAGAAAGTGGGCTGAGTGCTCCTATCTTTACAGGATCAAGAGGAGATCGATGAGACAGCCTATGAAATGGAAAAAGAAAAAAAAAATCACTTGTCTAAAGTGATCCATTGCGATTCAGCTGCTCATACAGAGCTCACCACATTTCAGTATCACTAACGGCACAAGCACCTGCTATGCTGGCACCATTCAGGAAGCCAGACAAGCAAACACTCAAGACAATGAAGCCTTTTGGAAAATTAAAAGATACTTTGCACTTTCATTGGAAGAGGAACACACTTAGGTCTGCAAAACTTAACTACACTATAATCTCCCATGGCTCCCGAGTATCATTTGTATAAATCCTTATAAGGTTATAGGGATACAGATATTTTAACAACAGGAAAATTGAATGGAGGCCAAAGTGTAGCAATTTTTATTGAGAGCAGTGCGATGAAGCTGTGTTACATAGACAATACATTTCCAGCTTCATAGGATACACTGGATTTACAGTGATCCCTGAATACAGTCTGCTGTAGCATAATCATAGTTTTAATTAAATGCATGGTCTAAGCATTCTGAGTTAACAAAACACCCCCCCAGAACTGCTGCTCTACAAACACTGTCATAAGGAGGTTGCAGCTGAATTGCCAGGTTCCTCCCGACCGCATGGCCTGAAAACCCATCTGCTTGCGGAGCTGGGAAATGTAAATCGGAAACAAACACAGCTTTTAACTGCGCTATAATGGTAATGGCAATCCATACCAATTCATTACTTCAGGGTGATGGCATTAAGCTGTCTCCATTAATGTGCATTTCATACAACTGTGCAAAACACAAGCCATTAAGGCAACGCTTAATGGAGCGACCGGTGTTGCATGTTGCAGGAACAGTCCACTGCTGCTACAGGAAGGTGCTAAATGAACAAAGCATTTGAAGGCAGGGAGACAGCTGCCAAGTACGTACATCACATCACATCTTCCCACCCCAAAAATTCCTCACAAAGATCAGCAAGTCTCCATCCGCCACATAAGGCAAGTTTATTTTTATCCCCCTCCCTCTCTCAGTAATGAATGAGTTGCAGAGCAGGCACTTCTGTGAAGCACTGGGGAATAATATGCATCCGATAATTGAAAGCTTTCCCATTTCGTAAGTGGGAAACTCTTCTTTTAGAGAGTCGCTAGCAAGTATCCTAGTCAGACTTAAGCAACTATCTTCTCCGAAATGACTTATGAAACGCCACTTTGCTAACTGCGGACAAGATTTAATTGTACAGAAACAAGCCTGGGAAGCTTTCATAGTCAAGCCGACAGCTGGACTCCACTCAGTAGGAACTATCTTCATGACAAAAATACTGCTGAATGAACAAACACTGCAGCTTAGCAGTGACAGGGCAAACAAAATCCAAATGCATGCTATCAGAGAAAATCATCTCTGGTTTTCTTCTTATCACAGAGTTCCAGAGTGAACTTCAGACACTGGACCTTGCAGAAGGACCCTCTGCTTCGGGGAATCTGCCTGAATGCAGCTTACAAGCCAGACGCAACAGCAGTCGTTCACATGAGGCTGGCTCGCCTCCGCAGCATCTGCTCCCGGGTCAGGCCCAAACCTCCCACAGTTAATCCAAGAAATGCTTGCACCTGGCACTGGATTAGCAGCGAAGGATTATCCAAAAGTAACCATGCTCCAATCCAGCGGGCAACGCTCAACACACGCATCTGGCCCCAGCACAGAACGAATGGCCTTTCGGGCCATACTCCTATAGGAGAAAGTGACTAAACGCTAGGTCATTGCTCGGCGTGGAGGAGGTCGATCACCTAAGCACGTTGATCCACAGATTGCTTTGCAGAAGGATCCCATCAGGGAAAGGAAATAAAAACAGCTGGAAGCAAAGCCAAGGGACTGATGAGATCTGAAAGAAAAGCTGCTGGTTTCAGAAAATGGGGGCAGCCTGCTTGACAGAAGTCTAAAACCAGGTATAGATCCAGGATTGACAATTAACCCCTCACAGCTAGGTAGCTTTCCTCCTGGTACCCCACACTGCACAGTTGGCTTTCAAAGCCGCCAGCAGAACATTCACCCTGAAGGGTCTGTCGGATCCCTCACCTGAACGCATGGCAATATCTGCCACTAATCCGCAGACCCTCGAACACAAGCCGGCAGTGGCAAAACCCCCTCATCTCCCAGCGACTGGCAGCTGCGCATAGCATCTCTGTGGCCATACTCCTTATGTCTTTTTCTACAGCCCGAGAAAAAGGCACCACAATATTTGGGTGGCCTTTGTTTTATCAGTGCAGACCACCGCCAAGGGATGCCCTAAGAGGTGACTAAAGCAACAACCCTATTTTGAGCAAGGCAGAGAAAACTGCTCAAATGTGGAACTGCAGAAACTACTCGCCCTTGTACCAAGACTAAAGCAGGAAGCGGAGGGACTTCAGTTCACAGGGAAATAGCATGCTGCCAGCTTGCCAGTGCAGGAAGCATCCCAAACCAGTACGTTTCCAAGAGACAGCGTCCATCTGCACATAGTCATTCTGCACCCAAATTGACAGCAGAGCTGCACGGCCTCCTGCCAGAGGGTAACTAACTGCGGGACACAACCTCATCACCGTGCTGGGGCTGCCAGACCCCCCAACAGATCCCACTGCAAACACTCTTTATGAGCAGCTTAAATCCGCACCTAGCCTGAGCAATATAGCTGGTTTTATAATTTTGTTTTAAAGCAAGCCTAAAACAGTACTGCCAGAAGCAGTTTTCAAAACCAGCTAAAATGTGAAGCTCACCAAGCACTAAGATACGCTTACCAAGCTTCCCCAAACAAGCACTGAAGCAAATCAGAGGATTTCTGAAAAAAATGAAAGCTTTCCAGGAAACCTACTTTATGATCTCTCTCTCTCTCTCTGTTACCCCAAGTCAGCAAGTTTCTTCACACGGTACAACTGAAAAGCCATTATGATGTTTGCCTAGTTCAGGCTCACAAAATAACTTGCTAATGCACTGATGACAACTGCAGGCTGAAGGCCTGTGAACTCAAGCTGACAAAAATAAGCAATATTAAAATAAGTTTAGATCCAATTTTTTGCTAGTTGTTACTTTCCATATGGCCAACATGCTGAACTTTTCAGCTGTATATCCACTTCTAACACAACAGTGTAAACCCATTTAAATATGAAACTGTACAACACAAACACACATCACTGCATCTCCCCTTTCAATGGCCATTTTGTGCAAGGCATCACTAGAACCTTTTGTGCAACTCAGCAGAATAAAAACATTTTTTGTCCTCAGGCTGGCGAGCAGCAGTTGCCATGGAGGCAGGTTAATAACAGCCCAATGATTTGCCCAGAGCTGCCTGTGATCTTGGCTACAGATTTAACACACTCTCAGAAGGAGGCCAGCTAAAACAAGGACTGAGATTATTCTCTAGGGAATTAATGCTATTAAACACACACATACACACACAAATATTCTTGCTAAAGGACAAAAATAAAGAGAAGAGGAAAAAACAGGAACCGACTATTCTTTTAATCTCCTAGAAACTATCAGTCACAGGAAATTGGTAAAGGATGAACCTACATATGTACACAAATTGGCAATTTGGTTGCTTAATCTATGAAGAACAATTATACAATCTACCCAGCAGTATACAGGCTACTGCATATATGCAGAGGCTTAGCCACTCAATTTCCCATGTCAAATGGCAATTGTGTGGCTAAACCTTCTTTGGTACGTTAAGTACGGCTTTAAGATTTAAACTCAGAAATGCAGAATTAATGGAAAGAGGTCGTAAAAAGAAAAAAAAGAAAAAGAAAAAAAGAAGAAAAAAGGCAATTCTTAGACTCTAACTCATCCCACTAAGGTCAAGACGGAGTGGAATGACAAAATCTGTGCTTCAGAACTGACAAAAGACAATGTGATGGGATCAGGTAGCTGTCTTGAGTATTCCCAGGGCTTGCTCCAGGAAGTTCACACATCAGCTCTTGAAGCCCAGACTTGTAAAGCTGAGAGAGACACATGGTCACAAAGCCGTCCCTCAAAGCGAAGGATGGAAAACATGATGTAAGGGAAGAGTGTCCACACCTCCCGGACAACCAGCCTGTCCTCTAACGTCCCAGCCTCCTCCTAGGCTGAACTAGTGCCTAAATGTCAGGTACGAACCATTTATCCCACAGTCAAGGTCACTATGGAACAAAAAAACTAAGGAAAAGAAAACAAAGAAAATCTGAAAGGCGGTTTGAAAAGCTCGCTATTTCAGGGAGCTAAATCTCCAGGCTCCCATGGCTGTTTTCTTAGTTCCCACTCCTTTTTTCCTTAGAAGTTTCTTTCCTTCCCCTCCCATAAATCTGTCTTGCTGTTCTGAAAGATGAAGCAATGGGCACCATTTTTTTTCTCATCACTTCCTGTAATTGTGTAATGCATTTTTAGAAACCTTGGCATGTTGGACACCTGTCCAGTTAATACGTGGTAGAAATTACACAGCACGTTTCAGCACAGAACCACAATCTGTTGGCTTCAGCACCACAGCTCAGGGAGCACGCGTGGAGGAATTGTTTTAACAAAAAGAAGGTTGCAAGAAACCTAAGGAAAGAAAAAGCACTAAAGAACATCTTAAATGAAAGCACTAGATAACATCTTAATTGGAGACATCGCATGTAAATCAGGCTTATTATTATACATCCACAGGCACCTGGTGTTGGGAGCATTACTCCCAATTCACAAATAAATGAAAGAGGAGGACTTGATACTTTACATTCACCTCCTATTTCCCCAGTGCTGAAGATCACCCAGTACCAAGTGTGTATAATACCACTAGAGTACT